GGGGGGGGGGGGGGGGGGGGCTTGCAGAGGGGGTGTCAGCCCCACGGGGACTTGGCGGGGACAAACCCACCCTCTCTCCAATGCAGAGGGTCCGGCGCGGCCACCTGAGTGCATCCCTGGGCAAGACCACCACGTCGCGTCCCTCGTCCCCACGCAGTTCGTCCCCACTCGCGGTAAGCGTCCCCCCAAGCCTGGGACACCCCCCCCATCTGCTGCCTGGGGCTGACCCGCATGTCCCCATTTGTCCCCAGTCCTGACCCGGCTCTGGAAGCAGCTGCACGAGGTTCGGGTCAAGTTTGGCATCGAGTCGCGTTGTCCCTGCGGGGAGGGGGCTGCGGAGCGGAGCCCGGCGGAGCCCCCGGGGAGCAGGCAGGTATGGGGGGGGGGGCTGTGGATGGGAAGGAAAAGGGGGTGCAGGTGCACCCAAACCCCTGCAATAGGGTGCCTGCGGGGGGGGGGGGTTGTGCATGATGTTGGGGGGGGGACCCCCCCGGGGGGGGGGGGGGGGTGGCTCCCCCCAGGATGTCTGCATGGACCGGGGTGTTTCAGGAGCCGATGGGGACTACGGTGCCCACCCCCCCACCCAGCAGCGATGGCCAAGCCAACACCTCCCGGCCCATCAAGGAAGGTAGGGCTGGCTGGTGGCCCCCCCCGCTGCGGGCACAGCCCCGCTCCGGGGGGGTCAGGGATGCTGCATCGCATCCCTTACGGGGTGCCCGGTGTGGGGGGGGACGAGAGGCAAAGGAGGGCACGGGCAGCCCTGACCCCTTTCTCCCCAAAGCAGAGAGTCCCGAGGGGGGACCACCATCACCGGGGCAGCCACCCCCCCGGGGGGCCGTGCAGACCTCCACCCTCTGCGACCTCCTCGCCTCCACCGCCGTCAAGCTGTGCCTGGGGCAGGACGGGGTGCGCATGGCCTTCGCCCCCGTCTCGCCCGCCTTGCCCAGCGTGAGTCCTGGGGTGGGCTGACCCCCCCCCCCCCGGCTTTGATAGGGCTGGGGGATGGCCAGGGTGGGCTGATGGGGATCCCCCCCACCTTGCATCCCCTCCCTGTTCCCAGGACAACCGCCTGACCAGCATCCTGGACAGCATCATCGCCCGTGTGGTGGAGAGGAAGATCCAGGAGAGGCAAGCGGGGGGCGAGTTGAGCCCCCCCAGCCCCCCTGGTCCTCCCGGCCCCCCCGTCTCCCACTGCATCCTGGCACCCAGCGGGCTGCTCTGGCTGCACGACCCCGGCCACGCCAGCAACTACAAGCTCTTCCAGGAGCACTGGCGGAGGGGCCAGGTGAGACCCCCCCCCTCCTTCCCTGGGGATGCACGGTGGC